TGTCCTTCCCAACCGTGTGAACACCCGCCCACGGGGTCAGGAACTCCGCCCCAGCCCGGCCGGGGGAGCTGACGGACCTTTTTGTAGAGCAGGTTCCCATAAACGGCTTCCTCAAGGAGGAGACACACGGGGCTCTTCAGTCACGAGACGCCCAGGCAGCCGGCAAAGGCCGAAGCCACAACTTCCCTCCCTCCCTGTCAGAGCTCCCGCCACAGCACAGGCGAGCGCCGTGCCCTAGTCGACAGCGCAGGGCGGCGGAGCTTCAGCCACACCAGGAGGCACCGCTGCCCAGGGACCTCGGAGACGACGAGCACGCGGCCCCGGGGAGCACGGGGGGAGCACCCTTCGTCCCTCCCACCGCTCGACGCTGGGGCCGCGCGCAGACCACGCAGGACTGACGGGGAGAGGAAGCTAAAGGAAGACCAGCCGCCTCTCTGAACCCCTCGCTCGCTCCGCTCGGGAGTCTGTTACTGGGCCACCGCCCCGAGGACCTGAGGCCTCACGCTGAAGCCCCGGGGCAGGGAGGGGGAGGCCGGAGCGGGTAAAGGGGCAATCGGTGACGGAAGGAGACGGCACCGGGGTGAACCGTGCCACGTGCAGTGACGGCCTACAGAACTGGGCACCCGAAACCCATGTAGCTACGAACCATGTCACCCGTCAATTAAACTAAAAAATAAAAGCCCTGGTTGGCAACAGGCTGGAATTGGGTGATTGAGGACACAAGAAAGGAGACAAGTGGTTGTCAGAATGGAGACCAGACTCCCCTCCCCCCCAGCCACAGCCACTCCCACCCACACCACTCCCCACTCATCTGCAGCGTGTTTTCTGGTGTGTTTGTGTGTTTGTGTGTGTGTGTATGTGTGTGTGTTCATGTGTTTTCGCTGGTGTGTGCTGACTTCCATATACCTGCACATGAAGTGTTCTGATGAACAGAGAATGTCCACGTTAGAAGCTGATCCTGAATGTTTTGTCCAAAGTGCCAACCGCCACACGGTGACCACGCCGCGCCCCTCCCCCGCCCGCCCACGGATTACTGATCTCAGTACCTGGCTGTAAAGGGTCCTCGATGTAGAGCATCGACGGCCTGTAGCCATCCAGCATGTTCTTCTGAACTTCATCTTTGGCCACATATGAGCCCCCATCCTTTATCCGGATGCCAGTCTTTAAATAATTGAAGTGCCGTCCATATAATTCAAAAAACTCTATTAAGAGAACACCATAGTTTGTGTTGGGGATGCAAGCATCTTCCCTGGGATGTAACTACAACCAGAAGGAGAAGAAAAGAAGTTACGTTGCACGTCCTCTGACTTCTCCGGGGGTGACACATGACATCTGACTTCTACCCCAGCACTGCCCGCTTCTGCTCTCGCGGCTGCTACACAACACCCCGCCTCCCGGGAGAGCGCTGGGCCACTGGGAGGCGGGCGGACGGCGGCCCCAGGATGGGCAGGGCTGGCCGCCACGACGCCACGCTGAGTCCCGAGCAGGCCAGGCCGCTGGCAGCGCTGGGCCCCATAAACCCGCCCAGGGCAGCGGGACTTCCCCTCCCCTCGCCCCCGGCAGGCCCAGCCCAGCGGGACTCCAGATGGGCGCTTAGAGGACATCGCTGTGCGTGGAGTTTCCACTGCTAGTCACCGTTACGGGAGCCACACCCCACCTTTAAAATGTGCAGTGAGAAATCTCAAACACAGAACACGTGGGATTAAACACAAAGCAATATTCTTTCCCAGGGACTTTGAAATACTTGCTAAATTGCAAAAAGGTGACAAGTTTAAAGGGGAACAAGCCAGACTCACCTGGAGGAAGCTGACGGCCATGAGGAAGAGGCTGTAGGAGCCGATGCCGCCCGTGAACACTTCGTTCAGGTCCCTCTGCAGGAGGAACTGCTTCAGCACCAAGACCAGGTACGGCAGCACGGGGTACTTCTGCAAAGGAGCGACGCCAGCGGCCCTGCGTGAGGAGCGCTGAGCATGCCCGGTCCCCCTGTTCCCAACTGGCGGGCACCCTTCCCGCCCCATCTGAAGGGCGGCTGTAAAAGCAACAGCAAGGGGGGAGCACGGACGTGCCCACGGCACACGGCACCGGAGCCCGCGCTGCGCCCACGGCCGGCAACACCACGCCCGTCTGGTGACGGTCACGCCGGCCGCCACCGCCCGATGCTCAGTGGCAAACAGGTAAGAGAAGCAGCGCAGGGCAGTCCCAACGCCTCCAGCACCGAGTCAGCGGACGTCAGAGGGGCATTTCTCACGGGGCAGCACCCCCAGGCAGACCAGGGCCCCCCAGGCCAGAGCGGCCGGCCTGCGGCTCCTGGGGCAGGCGAGCCTTCCCCACGCAGAGGACGAGACCTGAGCCGGCGCCAGGGCAGTGCAGCTGGGCCCCTCGGGCACAGCCTCACTCAGCACCCCCAGGAGCCAGGCCCCAGTGATTCTCACGGCCCCCATGGGGGTGGGTCGCCAGGGATGCCCGGTTCCTCCCTGGCGCTAAGAACGTGACGCTTCCATGAGAAAGAAAGAAGTGTGGGCTCCTGCAAGTCATGTCCGAGCAAGCAAGCAGGAGGAGGAACACGTACAGAAGGCAGCACTGTTACTCGAGACGGAGGAAGTCAGAAATAGTCTCTTTAAATGAAGGAAGCCTGTCTGTGTGGGTAGGAAAAAACCTCCAAAATATTAAGTTAAAAAAAGGATAAGACAAGGCCCTGGCCGGTGGCTCAGTTGGTTAGAGCGTCATCCCAACAGGCAAAGGTTGCAGGTTCAATCCCCGGTCAGGGCCATGCAAGAACCAACTAATGAATGCGATTTAAATGGAACAACAAATCAATCTCTCTCTAAAAATCCATACAAAATTTTTTAAAATTGTGGTTTTTTTTAAAGTATAAGATAATGAGCGTACAGGGTGCCATTCCTTTTGCTAAAAAATCTAAGAGGAGAATAAACAAGAAAAAAAGTTGATGATATAAAGCCACTCTAAGCCTGTAAGGTGTCAGGTATCCTTTTACACCAGTAAATTTTTATTATTCCTATTAACTCAATTGGAAACATTTCTGGGAGAAGAAAATTTACGCACAGCCGGCACCTCCCACAGTGTGGGGTTGGGGCTGGAATTCCTCTCTCTCTCTCTTTCCTACACTCCGAACGTGTACACAAGAATAAAGAAGTTAGCGTGTTGCTTATAAAACAGGGAAAGGCGAACCCGTAGAGCTGCTAAAAAAACTGTCAGCGTCAGAAGAGATGTGGGCGTAAGCACAGCAGCCCGCCGCTTCTGCTCGGGGCGTCCTGGGGGCGAGGCCCAAACGCTCTTGAAGAAAACGCAACAGTCGAGACGGCTTCCATCTCCCCCAACAGAGGGAGGAGCCCGAGGGACCACTTCAGGCCCCGGGGACTGAAGCCTAGAGCAGTCGCCTGGGAGGGGCCCAGGCTGAACTCTTATGATCGGAGCCCGGCCTGTGTGGCTCAGTGGTTGAGCGATGACCTATGACCCAGGAGGTCACGGTTCGATTCCCGGTCAGGGCACAGGCCTGGGTTGTGGGCTCCATCCCCAGTGGGGGTGTGCAGGAGGCAGCTGGTCCATGATTCTCTCTCATCACCAATGTTTCTATCTCCCTCTCCCTCCCCCTTCCTTTCTGAAACCCATAAAAATATATATTTAAAAGACGGACAGATCCTGCCCCACAGCGTGGCTCCCACCCTCCTCTCCCACGAGCAGAGCAGCTTTCTCAAGTGCGGCTCTCACTCGAGGCCACGTT